TTGCCATGCTTTCAGCCTGACCTCAGGCAGGTGACTAGATTTACTCTCATTCATTTCCTTAGTACAGTGTTGTAACTTCTTTGTACCAAACCACAACACTAAACGTCTCTCTAAAGGGACATTTAAAATGAAGACAGCAAAACATTCTGGCAAAGTGTTTCACCAAATAAACCATTTATTTTTTACAAAATCTAAATATGGGACAAAGCATGCTGCCTCTATGACCCTGAATGCTGCAATGTGCTACCAACAGTAGATATTCATACATGGCCTCAGCTCCCACCAGTCCTTGGACAACCATGATTTGATAGGGAAAACCAGAAGGCTGTATGTAACAGAGTGGAGGCCACAGTGGGTGAGATTGACACAAGTGTATCTTTTATGCAGAGCCTGTAGGCACCGCTGGAAGGCTTTGGCATGTGAAACAACTAGAGTAATAGTTACTACTAATTCTCATATTTAAAAACATGTACTTGCAGGCTTATCTCCATCAATTACTTAAAGGCACCCTGAGTGCCAAATCTGAAGAAAATGTCATGCCAACCATTTCCCCTTCCCCTCCGCATTTATTGCTGTGGCCAAAAGCCCAGGTACAGCTTTGGCTAGCAGCAATTTGAAGCATTGTCTCTAGCACTTCCTGTATGATTTTTGGACAACCACTTAAAACCTTGGATTTGCTTTCTTTGCTTGTAACATATCAACAGTGTTCAAAGTCCTCAGGGGAGCACTACATCTGGGGCTATGAAAGTACTCTGCAAAGGTCTAAGGGAGCTGTGGGTTGGGATGCTGACGCATGCCTCAGTATTAAAAAGGACATTCATACTCTCTCCGTCCACACTCTGGGTCCTCTGCAGAGCAGCCACAGCTGTAGCAGTGGTCCCAGTCAAACTGCAGGAGATGGAGACGTCTGAGCCATGCAACCAGTGCAGGCAGAAGTCAGCTGTACACCAATCATGCTTAATTTGAACCAGACTACAAAATCCACAAAGGACACCTGTACACCACTTGTAAGCTAGATGTATCCCAGATACATCACCTGCACTGCTCATGCTCTCTCTGCTCAGAGGAATTAAATTCCAGGCAGAAATACAGGATTCCTATTGTAGATCTGCACTGAAATGACAGCATACTAGGGAAACCTCCAGGAGGAAGCAGAAAAGGCCACACTGTTGATTGACTATTAGGTCTGCAAGATGGATGAGAATTTGAACTCCTTTGTAAGGAGACCAAACATATCACTTAATAAAAACAAGGCATCCTACGATGAACCTCTCTTTCCCATATTTATTCCTCTCTAAACACAGCAGTGCACAGATTATAGGAAATGGTTTTACATTTAACTTCAACCCCAAGTGGTAAAGAAACGGATTGTATCTCACAATGTAAATTTGCATGTACCATCATTTAATAGATGTTTTATACATGCTATGTACTACTGTGTTTTTATGGAAAGGCAAAAAAATTACTTGGGAATTTGTTTTTAATTAAGCAATAAGGCTCAATGGGGTACTGCTATCATGCAATAAAACCACTCCTGGGGTGTTGCGAGGCATTTGGTCCAGATGAGTGCTCCAAATCACCCCCAGATTGTGATTAGATGATTACTCCCTGGAGTTAATATTAGATGGTTCTCTCTAGAGTTGTCTTATTGCTATTATAAAAAGTCTTCAATACGGGGAAACTAAGTAGCTTTTGTGCTTGAAGAAGATGAAGTTTGCAGTTTCAACAGTTGAGTGGCTGGCTAAGCGGTGTGGGTCCCATAGATCACTTATTTAGCATGCGTGAAAGATCATCTCAGTGCATTTCTTTGACCCAAACAGTTTTACAATTAAGCAGCTTTCTTTTTTCTAGGAGATGGAAGGATATAAAGAGTAAACAGCTCCAAAATAAAGCAATCCCAAGACAAGGCACTGAGGAATTTGGTACTGAGATATGTATTACTGGCTTTATCTTTTTGTAGGGAATAATGAATTATTATGCTAATTGTACTAATGAAGGCTAATGCATGCAGTAATGGTAAGAGATTCTCCCAAGTTGGGTGCATGAGGAGGTACACAGCCTGAGGCATTCGTGAGGGCTCCCAAGCTAATGAATTCAAACAGCCCAACTGATACAGAGCCAAACTGCAGTGCTTTCCCCTGCCACCCCCCAGCTGCTCTTCAGGGTTGAGGTTGGAGATGAAATAGTTCATTCTGAGAAAACACAAAAAAGGAAAAATACAAAACAATCAGAAGACAAAACCCAAGGCTTTTTTGCCTATTTCAGTACACCTGCAAGAGAAACCTGAGGAAAACGTTAACTCTTGCAGGTCCCTTCCACTCCCCCCCAAAAAAATAGGACGGTAGGGCATGCACGTGGACAATTTTTGCTCAGCTTAAGCTGAAGTATAGAGCAAAATCATAGAATCATAGAACAGCTAGGGTTGGAATGGACCTTAAGATCATCCAGTTCCAACCCCCTGCCATGGGCAGGGACACCTCACACTAAACCACGTCACCCAAGGCTCTGTCCAACCTGGCCTTGAACACTGCCAGGGATGAAGCATTCACAGCTTCCTTCCTCAACTTCTCCTTCAGATGTCCCTCAACAGTCCTCCACACACCTCCTATTACATAAAATCTCTCCAGTTTTTCAAGCAGACAACAATTTTCACACTTCACAACTGAAGGTGTGATCCTTCACACATCCTCCACCCTAGCCTATGTCACATCTCACACCCTGGACAACCCAGGCAGCAATACACTCTCTAAAAGCCAATCAACCTTTTCCACCTGATAAGAAATACCCATGACTCCTTCTTCAGCTCAGCACCCCTCCATTTAAAGATCCAGCATGGCAATGGGTGAGGATCTCAGCCAAGCTGAGATCTGCTCTCTTGTTTCCAGGAGATCAGCAGAACACCTTGAAAAAACCACAGCACCTTTCTATTTCTCGTGTACTTGAAGAACACAAAAGGAAACAAGGATTTCCTTTTTTATTTTTTTTCCCCTTTCCCAGAGCTCTCTGCAATATGCACTTGATGCATAAAATTTCCCCAGGCAATCACAGCAGATGCCTTCCTGCACAAAAGGCATTGATGTGGGGTGAGGCGCGGGCCCCTTACAAAGAGATGATTTTTGCTTTCGGAGCAACACACACACGCTCAGCTTGGGTTCCAAAAGAAAAGAGACCAAAGCATGTTCTTCACATAAATAGAAGCTATATCCATGGGCAAAGCAGGACTTATGAATGAAATCCTTTCATGTGTCTTTGACTAATCAGTCAATCATAGGTGAACACATTTACATCTTTTCAAATTGACTAATGATTATCACACTCTTGTTCCTGGTGCTTTTCCCCCACTTTAATATTTGAAATGCCTAATCTACCTTAGTTTAGTGTTTGAAATAGCTAATTGCTCACCATGATTTATCTTGTGCAATAAAAGCACATTCTGAATATGAGATCACTGTTTAAACAGGATAGCAATAATAGGAAAAGAGTTCAGACGAAGAACATGCACAGAATGATGTTACTCTGGAAGGAAGGCTAAGCCCACAAGATGCAGTACTCTCTTCACATCATGCTGCAAAATGCTTTCAGCAGCTTTTCTTAGGCACACCTCTCTTTTCCACATTAATTTCACGTGTTTTTCCTTTAATATTATACTCCTCTCTGCACATAATACCTGCACCTTCTCACAGTTTTGGCATTTCATCTTTTTACTCCACATCTTTCTCTCTTTTCCCTTTCATATTTCGACTAGAATCTGCTCCCATTACTGGGAAACATTGCTCAGAAATAATGGATTGGCAGCATGCCAATCCTACTGTTTGTTTGTCAGTACCTATTCACCTCTCCTGCTCCTCTGAAGGAAACAAAATCCTGAGTTTTCTCTGCAGTATGTCCCTGTACTGGGCAGTCCTTGGGTGCTACCTGGAGACTCACGGAGACAGACCCACTTGATCAATCCATTCAGAAAATGAAGACAAAAACTGTTAAGGGTGAAAGAAAGCGTGAGTTAGTGACATAAGCTGAAAAAAACTGAGACTAAGTAACTTGGCACAGGGTGTGGTGCTCCAGAAGGCAGGAGAAAGGCTGCCAGTATAGGAAGTGGGGGATGTGGGGGGGTGTTCAGCACCACAAGGCAGTAGCATCTTCCCAGGCCTAGCACCAGAGGTCCAGCATGCCCTCCTGACACCCACCACATTCCAGCACACTCTCTGCTTGATGCCACAGCTGGTTTGCTCATGGTTTTAAGTTTCAAGTTTTAGCACATCTCCCACTGACAGTGTACTGCCACACAGAACAGAGAACACTGATGACATCATATGTAAAGAACATTTCAGTGATGAAATACCCTGAGTATTTTATAGTTAAGAAGGGGGATATAAATTGAACTACATATTACATGCTGATCCAAAACATAAATTAGAACTCATACTAAGCTTTGGATCAGATCTTCTAAACTGTCCTGTGATTACAGTTACAGACCACTACGAATAGAACAAGCTATCGAAAACCAAAATAGGCTTAGCAGGGAAACGCCTAACATTCCTCTTTCACCACTTTCACTGCTATTTTTTGAATTTTGAAACTTAAGGACAGCACTGAGATCCACAAACAGCTGCTTAACACAAACACCAGTATACAGCCTATAATAACATTGATTTCAAGCCCTTCTCATGGTGCAGATAACCACATCTTTTTTACTGGGGACAATATCTCTCCTTCTTTCTTTTTTTGTAGAAGCCAGCCTACAGCAAATACTTATTACATATGTATACACAGCATTTAAATTTAGCCTCTGTTGTTTACCTGCTTGGTTATTATTGGCTGTTCAAGACTTCAGTTCCAACTGTACCTGAAGTCCATGCACAGCACTGCACATATGTGACCTGCAGATCAGGGCTAAAGGTCTGGGCACAGAATGCAAGGCACAGCAGAGCAAAGGCTCTTATGAAACACACTTGTAACTTTAGAGTCTGCAAGTGTGAGTGGCTTTGTGCTCCTTGCACATGACAGCTTTTGTAATGAACACTGAGGATTCCAAGCTGGGGCATGACCCTGTGGTGGGGCACACAGGGACATGAGTCAGGAGCTCTGGGGGATGTTCCTCAGCCTTCCAAGTGATTCACTCTGCACAAGAGCCCGTTGCTGCAGAAAACAAGAGCGAATAACTCACTATTTCTATTTCAGTGATCAAGCTGCATGTGACCATATGTAACTCTCCAAGTTTCAGTTTTATTCTCTGTGAGAAGGGCAGAAACCCTAACACTGTTATTAGAATTCCTGCTGCACTTTGGGATCCTCAGAATAAAGTGCTGCACACATGCAAAGCACAACAATGCTGTTGTAAGTACAAAAGCACATCGACTGCATACTCCGTCCTTACACAAAAGGCAGAAGAAAAGTGGGCCTCAAGTTTGCTTCCACTAATAGTTTCATCACTCTGACAACCACGTTGAAGCCAGACTCCCAGGAACAGCTCAAGAAATGGGTAACTGCCTGTACATGGGCTGAGGACACAACTATCCTCTGAAATGGGCTTGCCTGGCAGCCATTCTAAGGCATGGGAATCAGTGCTATTTTGGAAGCTGACAGTCTGAAGTTGCAGTCTGTACTGAAAGAGCCAAGCAGGGCTCCGATTTCTGCACCATCAGATTTGGAAGCACCTAATTCCTAAAGCACGCAAATGATGCTGGTAGGGCTTCAGAGACACAAATCGATTGTGGCAATTCTTGTATTTCTAAAATAGGCTGATGAGCTGAAACCCCCAGAAGCCAGATCTGACAGACACTCATCCCTTCATGCACACTGTGCTCTCACAGCGCACAGGACAGAGGTTACTCCTCCTTACAAGTAACCCACATAATGAAACACGTTGACTTATTCGCTCATTAAGTAATGAGTATTCCAAGCTCAGTTCAATAAAATCTCTATAGCTAAAAGCTGTCTTGTCCACTGATGAAATGCCCCATGTAGTCAATTAGTTAAAACAGTTGTCTATCCTAAGATCACAGTAGGCACCTGACATCACAAACTGAATCTCAATATTGAGTTTTATTCAAAATAATTTTATCAAATGCCTGTTTGTTTTGCCTTTTTTTTTTTTTTAACATGCACTGAGCTCAGAATTTAACAGATGTTTTTGTAACTAGTATAAACTAATCTTTTCCTGCAGGCTATTGTAGTAACTTTGCCACTAGAAGATCATAAAAAGCCATTTTCTCCCCTGCAGAGCTTACCTTTGGCTGACTCAGATGAGCAGCTGCAGTTTCTTTTACTTGCTTTGAAATTATTGCATCCCAGTTGGGCAAGATGTTTCTGCTACTGAGAAACAAGTGGGTTTGGAGAAAATGCCAGAAGCAACAGATCAGATAAAGCCTCTTTACCTTGCTCTAGCTGGATTAAAAAGCTGATAATTTTGGCTGCAGCTTTTTCAAGTGATCCCCCAAATGTTTCACTTTTACAGTCAGGAAAAAAGAGCTCCTGACTGTACCTAATTGAATAGCTTTTAAGACTACTGGTTAAACTCTAAGACTGTATCTCAATAAGGCATTCAAACAAGGATGTGATGGCTTCCAAAACAGGCAAATAAAAGATCACAGAAAGTTAGGTCTCCAGTGCAACTGCTTAACACTGACCACATGCAGAGCATGTACCTTGAGACTTCCCTCACCTCATGCAACCACTGCCCGAACACACCTCTGCTTCTGACTGAAGAGGGAAAAAGTAGAAACAACCTTCAAATCCCAGGCTGTTTTGCTAGCCCAACGCTATGTTTGGCCAACATGTACTGATTAGTGACCAGGTGAGCATACTGAGAAACAACAACAAGAATAACTCAACTACACCTCAGTGGTAAAACTATGATTAGGATCACGGGAGAGCAAATGCACAATAATTTTAGCACATAGACAGAAAAAACAATTTAAAACTAATAATCTGTGGCTGGTTATATCAGAGTTATTCTGGCAGCTAAGACAAACTGTTTAGTTCAGTGCTTTGTATATTTACAGTTAGCTTTATGTATGTTGAGGATTCACTCCTAAGCTGGCCAGATGTCCCCAGAGCCAGAAGACTGCTTAGGAGGCTGCCAGGACGGGGACGGCTGGTGTCCAGGCTCAACACAAAACAGCTCCCAGTTGTGAGAGCTGGTCTGCAAAGGCTGCGCCCCCACTTCCCACACTAAAGCACTACCAATAACCTGGAACTCCCAGCTCCACCAGCAGCCTGCCCTCGGTGGTTTTACTGAGCTCTGCTGACAGCCCTCTCTGTAACCCTCACCATAAGCTGCCACAGGGCTACACACTGCAATTAGCTCAGTCCATGTCCTCGTTTACTTGCTCATCTGACACGAACATAAAGTATTAAGAAATAAGGTCTTGTGGAAGCTCTCATGACTGCCCAAGCACTTCAGCGCTGAAGCGCACCATGAGCTTCTCAGCCCACATTATTATTACCAAAGAAAATGAAAACTTGGAGAAAAAGACTCACACATATTAAACACCTTGACAAGTCCATCAGTTCCCATTAAAAATAGAAAACCCATTACAGAGAGCGTGCAAGCACCTGAATTATATACATCAGCACGGGCCCTGGGAACGGGAGGTGTTTAACAAAGCCAGGGGGCAGCCGCAGCGGGTGCCGAGGGACGCGGCCTCCGCTCACCTGCCCGGCTTCTCTCCGGACAGCAACGCACCGAAGGGGCGGTCGGCGGCCCGTGGCACACGCAGCCACCTCAAGAGATGCCCCTGGAGCGGCTCCGGGTGGGCGCCAGCCCAGGCGTCGACTAACAAGAGGCGGCCGGAAAGGGCCCACTGTAGGTGGGGAGCAGCAGCCACAGGCACCCGTAAGCAGGCACCAGGCAACGGCTCCCAACGCGAGAAGCCGCGGCTCTGCGTACGAACCCAAAGCCCAACCACCCCCACGCCACAGAGAAGAAATAGCTCTTGGGCGCTCCCCTCGCGGCACCCCAGCAGCCCCTCGCCGCCTAGTCCCGATCCGCCATTTGCACTGGCCGTGGGAAGGGGCGTGGCTCCCCGAGGCACGCCAAGCCTAGCGGCGCCCATTGGCTGTTGGGGGCAGAGGTGGGTGGGGCTGTGTAGCGGAGCGGCGGGAGCGGGGGTTGGGCTTCGCGGAGCGGAGTCGGTTGGGGCTGAACGGCCGGAGGTTGGTCGCCGGAGACCCCCAAGGCACTTCCACGGAGGTACGAGGACAGCGGCGGGGCTTGGGGTTCGGCTCGGCGCTCGGCTCGGCTCGGCACGGCGGCAGGGAGGGTAGCTGGTGCAGAGAAGGAGAGTTGTGGAGGAACTTAGGCTTTACGGCGCAGGGCTGGTGCGCCGGGAGGTGCCAGCCGGAGAGCAGCGAGCTGGCTCCTCTGCTCCGCCCGCTGTGGGGGACAGCGGTGGGGGAGGCCGTGTTCGCCGCCGGAGGGCCCGGCCCGCCTGCGTGTCTCTGTCTTGAGTGCGGTGCTCTGCTCGCGGGGCAGCCGCTCTGCGGCACCCCGATGTCTGTGCGTGGCCTGAGTGCCAGGTAGAGCGCGGATTTACTGGGCTTTTAGAAGGAACTCTTATAAGTTACCGAGTCTGACCACGTAGCAAAGCCGCAGGGGTGATCTCCTCTGTGAGAGGAATCCCCACCTTTGGCCACACATCCCTTCTGAAAGGCTCGTGGGCTCTCAGGTGCTGGGAGAGACAGAATTCATCTCTCCCTTCGGTGGCACTTACCAGCGAGCCTACGTATGTAATTTGTTAAGAGCCCGTGCCCAGCCTGAGGATGTAACGGGTGGCCTCGCTACATGCTCCTACGTGAGTCCCATCAGCTCCAGAGCTCCCAACGGATGTCTCTTCTTGTGGTCACTTTCTACGTTGATGCTGAGGAGCGGCAGTGTGGAGGAGGAAGTGCAGGTGGAGCAGCGCAGTGCTGCACTGTTTGAGAACTGGTGAATGGACAGAGAGCAGGGCAGAAGGAAGGGGTGAGGCTCTCCCCTGAGTTTCAGGTTTTCCTTCCTTTTGCACAAGGCTGATGGACACCTCCGAGTCTGCACAAGAGCCACAACAGAGCTCAGGCTGCTGGTTTGGGTAGCATCAGTCTGAGCTCCTCAAATGCCACCGCTCAGCTGTGCCCTCGCTGTGGCCCTATGTGACACAAGTTCTGGGTGTGCTGAGCAACAGTGGCAATAAGCCCAGTAGCTCTGTTTGTCCATATCCCCCTGGGACTGGTGGCATTTCTTAATCAAAGGCCTAATGTGACAGTCACAAAACATACATGTACTGAAATGTGTTCCTCATGAGCATGGCTGGAAGAGGGTTGCCAGAGCCTGCACCCAGCAGCCCTGCAATTACAGCATGCCAGGAAGGAGGGAGAGGCAAGCTGAAATCCCTTATGTCAGCAGAAGGACAGGAACTATGGTTTTGTTGCTCTAAATGCCTGCTGTTGTTATAAGGTGGCTTCATCCTGCTTACTCTGCTTGGTGAGGAAGAACTTATACCAACCTTAACTCTAGGGGAGAGTTCTCAGCTGGGCAAAGCAAAAGGAGGAAGTAAGGAAGAGCTGCAGAGAGCTGAGGTGCAGGGCATTTTCTGCTGGCAGACCTTGGCAGTCAGATCTCAGCACATGTCATTACGCCTGGACTGTCCCTTGATTATGGTATGCATTAGGTATGCAGTGGATACCAAGACTGTCAGTTCTGTGTGACAGCAAGCACAGAAGAATCAGGTAGAACAGCTCACTACATTGCTATGCCCAAGCCTTAGATACATACCGACCTGAAAACATACCCCAGACTCCCTGACCCAGGAGTTTCAGTTGAAATGCTTTGCCTGGCATGCATCAACATGGCTGCTTAGAATCACAGGTGAACAAGAGCTCATTGTTTTAAGACATGGCTTGCTTACTTCTGGTGGACTGCCAAATAGTATTCTTTTTCCTTTGAATATTAGTAGTATTCACAGAGTTATATATTCACTGCATAATACTTGATCACATTGCAGAACCAACAGATCTTGACGAGAAAAACAAACCCCAAACTTGCCATGCCAAAAACTCCTGTGAAAGGTAGCACATTTGTAAAGTACATCTTCACACCCTCATGTTAGCTCTGTACGCTTCTGCTGCATGTGACACATGTGCATATGTATTCCTTGGTAATAAGCACTGTGACCCTGCTTACCTGAGAGTGCAAACTTGAACAAACAGGAAAAGAAAAGAGATTAAAATTTGTATTCTTATTTTTACATCTTACCACTGCTGTTCCACTGCTAGCACTTCTCTTTGAAAATAAGCTCATGTTTCCTGGCTTTTTTGCAGGCACAATCTTTATATCTGACAAAAAGTTTTCAGATACAGGAGGATCCCTAGAAACAGTCATATCAAGCATTGTACATGCTTGAGGGGTTGGACCATGCTTCTAAAATATATAAAGTAAAAGAAGCAGGCTAAGAGCTGATGCTCCATAACCCAGAAATATGAGGAAGTGAGACTGGTGGGAACAGGATTAACTGCTTTGGTTTATCCCACTTGGTGTTGCTGCTGCCAGAAATTCTTGACAGTATTTTGTTGTATTCACAGTCTTTCCACACCAAACTTCCCAAGCTGTAATTTCAGTTTTTCTTTTTCCTTTATTATTTATGTGCTCATCTTGGTCTTTCGCTCAGCAGCTCTTCATCCATGGATTTGTTTATCAGAAACCTCCCAAAAACACATTCCAGGATAGATGTGACTCTGGGTATTCACAGTCAGAGAGTTTGGTGTTCAGTTGTAGAGCAGTTTGCCCTGCCTGTTTGTTCTTCAGCCTTATTTGTTCATTTAAGAGGGAGAGAAAAAAAAAACAAAACACATGGTGCATTGTTGTAATTCAGAATGGATTTGGATGGATGTCCTGCAGCAGAGCAGCTCCCTTCCATGCTCAGGTCCACTTGGGCTGACACATCAAGGAGAACAGAGCCTTTCTTCTAACAGCAGTGATAAATCCCTTTGCACAACTTCTGCATGTCCATACTGAGATCGCAGGTTGTTTGAGGCATTTCTTCAGCTGCTGCTGTTGAGCGTGTCAGGCACCCAGATTCCCTCCGTCCGAGCATTTCAGTTCATTGTACATTGCCCTTCACACTGAAGCATACCTATATGAGTGGATATGCCTAATGCTGTCCAACTCCATCAAGTCCATTTCTGGTACATCCTTTCCAGAAGGAAGCTGGAGGCCTTGGGGTCCTCCTGTTGCTTCAAGGGAGTCCCCAAAGAAGCCAGCTTTTCAGGAGCACTGGCCACTCTGTATTTCTCTAGGGTTTTCGATTTCTGCAGGGAAGGTCACTTCATTTAGGTCTCCCCAGGCTAAACCTGCATCTTAACTTTGTGCCTTTGTACCCTGGCCTGCTCTAGAGAAGGAAATTCTGGGAACTCAGAGGAATTAACAGGTCTGTCTGCCAGCTAGCTCAGGTGAGCGGTAAATGGCATGTGGCACCCTTGAGCAACAGCTCTGTGGTTTCCCTTCTAGCATACCAAAAGGATGATTTGGGGTGAAGGGCAAGGGAAGAATGCAAATCATCATTGTTCCAAACATACAGGGTCAGTTGTGTTGTTCTCCTCTCCTTCCCTTTCCCCTCCAACCCCCATGGCTTCAGGGACTCTGGACAAGGAGAACAGGGAAAACCGTGGGGAGCAGCTCTGCATCAGTGATTCAATGAACTGCTAACAGGAGCCAGGGCGACACACATCCCTGTGACCTCGGAGCTGCCTCGTGTTGGCTGAGCTACCTCGCTGGAGGAGGAAATGACTCAGGTTCCCGTGGCCAGCCGGCCTCAGGGCAGGAGGGACTAGGTGCAACAAAACCAGCAAGGAGCGCTTTCCTCACTGCAAACTACTGATAGCAAGCATCTGCTTTCACTGCAGAGGTACACCTATCTAGGGTTTTCTGTTAAAAAAGCCCCAGAAGACTACTGACACCTGAGACTGTATAAGAAGGAGGGTGCAGAGGTGTGGGACACATAAACATGCTTCAGCAGAGATCAGGCTATTTTAAGAATAACATGTCTTTCAAGTGGAAGCACCGGCAGCCCCCGATGTAACTGTGGGAAGGGAGGAAGGGCTTGGCTTGTGTGGGTTCATTCCCAGAGTGGGTGCTTCTTCCTTTTATTTTTTTTTTCCCTTTTTGTCATGCAGGGAGGACCAGAAGGAACAAGTGATCCTGCACTGGTTTGTTCCTGCCTCAGCTGTGGCCCCAAACAGCATTGTGGGGTTTGTGTGCTTTAACTAATCCTTGAGAAAGTGGGTGTGCAGTCAGAAATGGGAGGCTTGTTCCTAAGACCATGGATCTCCTCCCTGAGCCTGCATCCAGCACAGCATCAGTTAGCTCCCAGCACCAAGAGGGATAAAAGCAGGGGGTCCTGGTACCCTTCATCTTACATAGTACAGTAAGTACTTATGCCTGCATAAGAGCAGATTCAGACCAAACAACTTTCTTTATTTTTCTGTCTTTATTTTACTAGCACAGTTATGCTAGTAAAAAGCATAGCTGTGATGGAAAAGCTGGCTCTGCCTTTCAGGGGCTTCCACTGCTGCAAACTGAACTATCCCAGTATAGATCAGGCTGTTGCAAAGTGGTGCCATAAAGTCTGAAAATTTAACTTGTAAAGGTAACAAACTAGTGAGGATTGGTAAGGAGATTATCGTAACCTCAGGTTGCTTTAGAAGCGTCTCATCTACGAATGCATTCGCCTTAGCCTCACCGTGGTGCAAATGTTTGCAGGCTCACCGCTTCCCTCTTTACTTTCCTCTCCTCAGAGCAAGCTGGAGATGGTGGACCATCTTGCAAACACTGAGATCAACAGCCAGCGCATTGCTGCTGTGGAAAACTGCTTTGGGGCTTCTGGACAGCCTTTAGCTGTGCCAGGAAGGGTCCTTCTAGGAGAAGGGATTTTAACCAAAGAATGCCGCAAGAAACCAAAACCTCGGATATTCTTCCTCTTCAATGACATCCTTGTCTACGGCAGCATAGTCATCAACAAAAGGAAGTACAATTCCCAGCACATCATTCCCCTTGAAGATGTCACTTTGGAGACGCTGCCAGACACTCTACAGATGAAGAACCGCTGGATGATTAAAACCTCCAAGAAGTCCTTTGTGGTTTCTGCAGCCTCCCTGACGGAGAGGAAGGAGTGGATCAGCCATCTGGAGGAGTGCATCAGGCACCTGCTGACAAAGACGGGCCGGCAGCCCTCCACGGAGCATGCGGCTCCCTGGATTCCAGACAAGGCAACGGATATCTGCATGCGCTGCACACAGACCAAATTCTCCACGCTCACACGAAGGCACCACTGCCGCAAGTGTGGCTTTGTTGTCTGTGCAGACTGCTCCAGGCAGAGGTTCCTGATGCCCCGGCTGTCCCCCAAACCCCTGAGGGTTTGCAACCTGTGCTACAGGCAGCTGCTGGCAGAAAAGAAGAAGGAGGCGGAGGCAGACTGCAGGCAGCAGGAGCCAATCTGCTCTGCCGTCCCAGGCTATGAACCCTCCAGTGGTGATGACAGCGACAAGTCTGATGATGACAAAGCTGACCAGTGGCCAGCAGACACTGAGTTCTATACCTCAGACGTATCCTGGTCATCTTTCCATAGCTGACCTCCTAGGGTCACCTCCTAGGTGGCATTTAGGCATTGTGAAACCAACTTTTGGCCTCCAATGCACATCCTTCTTGATGTTTTCCCTGGAAGCTGTGCCTAGGATGGTGGATCTTAGCCCCTGTGTGGGGTGCCTGTATGGGGAGCAATAATGGGATTACCCCTCTGAGAATGTGTCTCATATGACACGAGTGAAGAGAGCAACAGCTCAGTGAAGAACACAGACTTGGGCAGAGACCTGCAGATCAGGCTTGGCCAAGTGAGCTCAACCTTTGGTGCCTTAGTCTTCCTGTCTCTAAATACAGAGCAATACTGACTTCTTTTCTTAAATGCTTTGAGATTGGCTCTTGGGAGAGAAAGGGGCAAGAAATCATAAACACTTGCCTGCTAGCAGTGTGTTGCTCTATCATGGCAAGGTGTGTTCCAACTCCTGTTCCACATGAGCATTGCATGTACATCAGAGATGCTCAGTGCAAGCCTGCCAGCCTGAGGGGATAGTTGCTCATCATGGTAAGGTTGCACAGGCTTCCACTTCTACAAGTGGGTCTCTCAACTTGGAAACACTAAGGGAATAGTGCTCCAAATGCAGGGAGCTCATGCAAGGCTCAGTGTGAGCCACCTTAGTAAAGCACTGGATCATTCAGCAATCTCACATGGAAGGAGGCCATTTTGATGGTACCAGGACAGGAGGCAGAAAGGAAAGGGGAAGGGGATGGGTAAAATTATGCAGAGGAGTGAGTTGAGGAGGGGAGAGACTTACTGCACTTTACTCAACTAAGTGCCCAGCCCTAGATCTCAAAAATGGGCTGTTAATCTACAATTACCAGCAACTTAATGAACTCAAGCCTATCAGGTAAAAGGGTAGCGCAGGGAAGACTTGTTTAATCTTGAAAAATCCAGGAAAATGCCCCAAGTTAAGATCCTGTGAAGTACTGCACTTCCACTTCTCTCCTGAGCAGGAGCCCAAGGCATTGCATGAGACTCACCTGTGGGCTCACCTAATGTCTCACAAACCCAGAGTTAAGATCCTTTATGTAGTTCCAGGATTGGAGCCCAAGACTTTACAGTTCACTTGAATTCAACTTTAAAGTTCAAATTAAGTTAGAAATAAACCATGTTTATTCAAGTATTTTATCATACTGTAGCATGGGAGTAAAAAAAAATCAGACAACAGCAATTGTTTTGCAGCAGATTTTCTACAAACTCATTATTACTTTGATTACATTTTTTGTATTGTGTATTTTATGCTCTGGAAAAGGAACATGGCTGGGAGTACATTGCCAGTGTAATAAACTGTTTCCTTACCATGACCTGTTCCAAACAGTGCGTCGCCTGCCAGATGGCCAGACTTAGGCTTTTTTAGATTTTGATTCAAAGTAATCACTTTTACTGTCTTTTGTAAACTGCCACTGTTTTGATGAACTTGTATGGGTAGACTGTGTGCAAATAAAGATACGGCCAACAGGAAGAAATCAGAACAAATATGACAATAAATGTGTTGTTATTTAATAAGAGCCTTAAAGAGGAGCTGGGATTCAGGCCTGGCTGGCTAGCCCTTAGCTGTGAGGTGAGTCCAGTAGGTTTCTATTTACTGCTCCTGAGGTAAGCATGAGTGAAAAAAAAGAAAGCCAAATCTGATGCTTCCTTTCTATTTATACCATGTTATCATTTAACCTACTTTTCCCAAGTCTTTTGCAATCCCCTGCAGTAGTCTGTGTTAACTAAAATGGTATTTTTCCGGTGGGGCCGCATCTTGGAGTGGGTCAACAAACCTTATGACCTAAGCAGATGTTTTTAGGTTTTAAAGCAGTAAGTACAGTGAGTTCTGTTTTTACCATCCCTCTCCAAGCTTAGTTTATAGCTCTGCACAGCAGTGATTGTTTTTATAATGCCTCCCACCCACCAGAAGGGTGTACATGCTATGCAAACAGAAAATGACCTTAAAATAAACAGCCATTAGAATGGTTCACAGGTCAAAAATAGCCCAGCTGCTGAATCCACATCCAAAGCCAGCATTCCAGTTCCCTGCTCCTGGGGTAAAACTCCCAATTCCTTCCTAGTAACTGGCTCCAGAAATATATTCCAGTTTTGAGCTACTTAGTTTTCTTACAGATCAGCTTTTCTTTATCTTACATGTCCAAAGATCTTACTATTATCAGCGCCAAAAGAGCTATAAACTGTTTTTATCTACTAATGAAGGCCAGGCACACCTCTAGCAAATGCTTTCTTGTTGAGTAAGAGCTTTTCTTAATCACAGCAGGGAAGAAAACCCCAAAAAAACCAACCGACAACCAAACTCTACCAAAACCAATCAGTTCTGAGTTTTTACTGTGCATGCTGTAGTAGATGGCCTTATGGGAAACACACACACACACACACACACACACACACACACACACACACATACATCCCTCTTCCAGCAAGTGGCACGTCCTCATTCCATGCAGGCAGTGATGAGGTATTGTACTGCAGCTGAGCAGGGAGACCCACAGAGGCTGCCGTGGGTCAGAGAAGACATCTTACTTGGGAACTCCAAGTAACAAAGTGCCTTTGAAACTGTTAATGCATATGGTAAAAGGAGCCTGCCCAGGAAAGCATGGGGAAATTTAAACAAAGCCTCCCCCCCACCAGCTTTAATAAACTTTGTAGTTTATTTGCCAAGCTGGATAGCTCAGCCCTGGGATCAGAGCCTGGGGCTCCTGGCTTCTGGCCTGCTGAACACATGGGTTTTGCATCACGGGCTCTGCTGTTAAAGCCCAGCCTGGAGTTTCCCAGCTTGATTCTATCTCCAGTGCATTAATGGGGCATTTCCTGATGGTTTGGGTTTTTTCTTTTTTGAGCTAAACGCCTTACCAGGGATTTGTTACAGTTTGCAAACCCATGTGGCTAGGAAGACCGATAGCTTGAATGCTTACTTCGGAAAAACATCTGCAGGCTAGGGATTTTGTAGGGTCGCATCCTCCTCCGGAAAGGCTCCCAAACATCGTGTGTGGGGATCAGCTGCCAGAAAGGGCTCCTTGCTCAGCCCCTGCTTGAAGGTGTCACAGCCTAAAGGGCACTGCACTGTGCAGCATCCCACCATGCACACCAGCCTTGGCACTGCCCAACCCTGGCAGTGAAAAATACTCCTGCTCCCTTGAGCCAAAATAGGAGCCCAGGCACTTCTAGAAAAGTAACTCCTTTTGAGCTGGGCACAGAGAGCCATGGGACAGTCACTGCAGCTGTCAGGAACAAGAAAGGCACTAGTGCACAGAACATGGAAAGCAAAACTTGAATGTTAGCATCAGATCTGCTGCAGCTGCTGGGGACTCTCCAGCAAAGAAAGAGGGAAATAGAGCTAGGGCTCATGCAATGAGGCAGTCCTCTTCTGCTTGCCAAAGTTGGTAGGAAGGTGAAGCAGACGATGGCAGTGTTGTAGCAGCCAGTCACAAGAGCCAAAGGAAAGGTAATGGGAGATTTGTTCTGTGAATGAACCATACAGAAAGGATCAAAGAGGTTCAATGGGACATGTGTGCTCCACCATCCCAAGGTGCAGCCAAGGCACACCATCTCTTTCAGAGCACGGCACTGACTCAGCACTTCACAGGCTTTTGGAGGCAGCCGGGTGAACTGAGCCAGCTTCTCAGTCAAGGTCTTGCTCCCAGTTACTCAAACACTCAGGTTCTATCCAAGCAGAAGTTCTGGCTCTGCCAAAGCCCATGGCCTCTCCTGACTCACTACTGCTGCAGGGTAGTTTCCCATTTTCCTCAGCCTGGAATTTTTGGTTAGCAGGAGGAACTGAGGACCACAGATGGTCCCATCTACTGCTGAGCTTTAAAGCGCTGCGTCTCCAACAGAAAATACAGGCTTCTGTTTCTGACTCTGCTCCAGGCCATGGATCTTTAAGAAAGATGTTTGCAGGAGTAAAATGTTGCACAACTGTCACTGTCAAGGTGGGCACAATTTAGGAAAACAGGTCTGAGGAACCCTTGCCCAAGACTCAAGTGCTGAAGATGCTCTGCAGACCTGCTGGGGAGGAGCGAGGTACTCCAGGGAAGCATAGGGGCAACACATGGCCAGGCCTGCTTTATGCTGCATATCCCAGGTAGGAGAATCCCCCCTGGTACCATGCACACAGATGGGAAGGAGCCTCTCCTGCACATGCAGTTCATAAAACCTCCAAACCGACACAGCAGCTGGTGCTGCAGTCCCAAGACAGCAGCTGGAGCAGATGGGGCAGGCAAGGAGGTGGTGTCAAGTGCTGGCAAACACTGCCATTTGACTTAAATTCCAGTATGGCCTGGACGTGCGAATAAACCATAAGCACGTTTTCAGTAAACCTCCTATGGAGCAGTTCATGGCCATAGCAAGTTACACAGCTGCCCGGCTAGCTGTCATAAGAAGAGCGGAGAAAAAGACAGAGGGAAGCCAGATAAGGTTTGCTTTAGCAGAGCACTCCTGTGCAGCACCCTCTCTTACCTGGTCAAACCACCCTAGGGCAGAGCTGCTGGCAGCAATCCTGCTGCCAGGATACTGCTGCCCCAGGCAATAAGAGAATGCTTCTCCCTGTGTGAGCTTTGTCTAGCCTCTCCTTTTTTGTCTTAAATAAGATCTGTTTTGGTGAGAAACTTAGCTTAAAAAAACAAACTAGATTTGAGAAGGAAAATCATTAACATAAGAAGCTGTGGCTGCCGCATCCCTGGCAGTGTTCAAGGCCAGGTTGGACGGGGCTTGGAGCAACCTGGTCTAGTGGAAGGTGTCTGTGCCCATGGCAGAGGGTTGGAACTGGATGATGTCCCTTCCAACACAAACCAGTTTGTTATTCTATGATTCTGTGAACTCAGGGCCACACAGGTCTCTTTTCCTCTAACAGAGGAGTAGTTAAAAAGTCGCACATTTTTATCAGAGGAGCTACACACAAGGTAATACCAAACCCTTGATGATTTCACAAACAAAGCATCTTCAAGAGACACCAAGTCTTCTCCGTGGATTTGCTCCCTTTCCTGTTGAAGCCCACAGGGGGAGCCGTGTCTCCTGATGCGCATCACATCCCCACGTAGTCATCAGCCTGTGATGACCACCTTACAGAGTACAGCCCTGCTGTGACAAGGCAGCCTGGACAAGTATGTGTGCTGAGGTCCCCCTTGGCAGCCCTCCTGAGCTGCATGTGCCCCACTGTGTGAACAGCAGCTCTCCACTGTGCCAGAGCTGCAGATCCAGCCCTGTGCCTGGGAGTGCAAGCAGGAGAGCAGCACTTGTGGGAACAACCCTTCCAGTTGTCCTCAAATAGCTTCAATGGCTCTGATACTATGGTGCGAGCCAGCTAACCAACCCACAAACCAGAGCCACCATCACCCAGGTCACAGACAACTAGTTTCTGTCAGAGTCTCTGGCTTGATGAGTGTTTGCAGCAAGTTTCAGGCAAACCAACCTCTAGCTCTTTCCAAAAAATGGTCTCGAGCACACTTGTGACCAGCCTGTGAGATCTGAGGTGAGGCATCTCCCCTGCATGAACCCAGGCAGCCCTGCAAAGCTTCACTGTGTGTGGCTTTTGTAGTCCAAAGGTCTTTCATACACTACCTTAAGACTCTGCATGCCCTTTGCAGCCCAGCCCTGCTCCCCAGCGCACCCTGAGAAAGCACCCAGGCCCAGCCCCTGTGGCTGGGGACAGAGGAACATGGGAACTGCCCCAGCATCTTCTTACCAGGGAGCCTGGCACCCCTCACAGGGGCATCTCCTCTGTGAGGAGAGGCTGTTTCTCACTGCCTTGGCAGGACCCAGCTGCTCTCCTGACACGCTCCTCACACAGCTGACTTTACTGAATCACCCCATCTAGCAGAGGGAGGAGGGATGCTGTGCATTAACCCTGAGAGAGCCTCTGCAGCAGAGCCTTCTGCTGCGGTTCATGCAAGGGAGATGCCTTACCCCCCAAACCTCAACAGAGACAGGCTAGTGTCAGTCACAATGTGGCTGGGGGGGGGCGGGAGGGGGAACGGGACGGGGACGACTTGTCTCACAGGGTTTCAGGCTGCAGCCACATCTATTCATTCTACTAGGGCCACTTTCAAGGCAGATCCAACACCCACAGCCAGCAGGCCGAGCAAAGCCCTGTGTCTGTGCTTTGTCCCAGCAGGCACTTGGGGCAGCACACTCTTCAGCCACCTGCTTGCAAGTAAATCGCCTTCACAATGAGATGTTCTACAGGATCAGTGATGAACTGCTATGGTGTTCATCTGGGGAGGAGGACAAGAGGTGACTGTCACACTTGGCTATTTCAGGACTTCAGCAGTACCACTGCTGTCACTATAATACAGCAGCTAGAGCTATGTTACTTTCATAGAAACAGGGTCTGCAATGCAGCTGGTGTAGCCCTCAAGCAAGGGCAGTCCCTCTTAGCATGTCCCAGAGCCCAAAGCACTGCGAACACCTTGGCAGTCACCAAGAAGGGACCATTCACAACAGCTGATGCTCTGTCTCCTCAGGGACATGCCATAGTGAAAGTGCAGAACATGGCTGTGTCATAGAAGGGACTAAAGAATGCATTTGTTGGTTTAGACCTTACAACTTAAGAGAGAGACTGATGAAAATAGGGTTACTCCTTCACATATGTTCCCTGTTTCAGCACCCTCACCACTCAGGAGAGCCATTTGGGCAGTGTATGGTGCTCGGGGTGGAGCCCCCAGCATTGCAGCTCCTCGGCCCTTTGGGAGATGGAGAAAGGCCCTATGTTGGAAGCGGGCTGAAGAGCTGATCCTCGCCCTAGCACCAGCAATGCAGCTCCCTAGACACAAGCTGCCATAGGCAGCTCCAGAACCAGACATGTGGGGAGCACAGGGGGCTGATCACCTCAACTACAGCTCTGCCTCCCACGCAGCACCAGCTGAACTTTCTCTTCCGTGCCTACCCTCCACCAGAATGGGTCTCTCATGTCTTGCAGGCTGAGTTTTCCTGGAGCCAGCCACACCAGTAGGGTGCAATGCTGAGACATCCCTCCAGGCTGAGGGAACCTTGCACCACAGTCATCTCTGCAGCTGCAGGCTTGCTGGCTGCAGGATTGGGAAGAACAGCAGGAGAGGGGAAGAGAAGAAGGTCTCTTCTTTTATTTATTTTTTTTTAATTAGTTCTGTGAGAACACTTAAAACATTCAAAAAGAAAACAGGAGGAACTTTTCAATCAGACCCACGTCATCTTTCTATGTAAAACAACTTACCATTCTGCAGAACAAAGCAATAGCATGACTACATCTTAATACAAC